CACCTCTTCCTCTCTCCTTGTTAAACCAGGATAAAAACAAGTTTTAAAAGAAGCTCCTGTAAATCAGAGCTGTTCAAATGGTGCCTCCTTCCAGGTGGTTTGTTGGAAGCCACCAACAGGAAAACCAGACCTTCCTTGTGGGTTGGCTCTTTGAACTGTTACCTTTTATTATGATTTTATTGAACCTGTACTGAAGAGACCAAAATTGTGGAAGGTTTTGAGGTGGTTCATGTCTGAATCCATCATTCCCCTGTGGGCCTGGGCAGGCTGGGTGGGCAGCAGTGCTTTGTCACCATTCCCCACACTCCCTCTTGCTCCCAGCACGGGCAGATCCTCACAGCTGGTTCTGACAGTTCTGCTTTGTGCATTATCTGATACTGATATTTGTCACATGTTTACAGAAATACTTCTAGGGCTGTCTTACCTCAATTCATTACCTGCTTTTCTGCTCACAAGTCTTTGTAATGGAGTGAATTATCTCCTTCATTTCCTTTTTCCTCCTTTGCCATCACTGACATTTATAGGTCAGTGTTCTGGCTGCTGCCACTTCACTTGCAGCTTAAGAGCAGCAAAAGCATCACAGTCAGACTTGAGGTGCACTTTGTGTGTCAGAGGGGATGTGTGAATAGAGCTGAGAGCCATGTGAAATACACTGAAAAGCTATTTTTAAAAGTAAGGAATAATTCTTTTTCTCTTTTTCCTGGATTCTGAAAACTCTGCTGATTCCCACACATTTCCTGACACAGCAGAAAAAGAAAAAACTGTATTTTCATGATGAACCGAACAGTTTGGAGCGGTTATTTTAGGCAGGGTGCAGGGTATGCAGGGAATGTGGCTGCACACAGAGTAAAGTTGTAGCTTCCCACTGTTGTCTGTGATGGGTGTGCAGTGAGGTGTGCTCCAGGTCCTGGGCTCTTGTTACAGTAACTCCTAAAGCAGCAGGAAACCAGGAAATTCTCAGGCAAAGCATCTAAAGTGAGAGCTTTATACAAGTGAGGGCCTATAGAAACAGTGAGGGCCTATAGAAACACAGATTTGTGTTTGTCTGTGTGACACACACAGCTGTGTTCACACACACATTTGTGTGATTGGTGAAAGAATGTTTCTGCCATATGAGAACAAAGAAATGCAGAGCAAATCCTGTTCCATTTTCCATGTGTAGTAAAGTTTCTTTCTAAAGTTTCCAGGTGCTCTCAGATCCTGCTCTCAGCAGAGCAGCCTGGCAGCATTGCTTGGTCCCTGTGAGTCAGCTCTGGGGTCCATAAGAAACTCAGTTTCTTATTGTGCAATAAAATTTGCTAAGTGAGTGTTGTGTGTGTGATTTGACAAGGATCAGGGTGCTGACTCTGTGTTCTGGTGTTTGCAGCTGCTGCAAGTCCTTTGCACATGCTGGCGACCCACGCGTCCGCATCGGCCTCGCTCCCCACCAAGCGCCAGAACGGAGACCAGGCAGAACAGCAGGAACTGAAACGGATCAAAACTGAGGATGGAGAGAGCATAGTCATAGCTGTGAACGTGGACACCCCACCCGTGGCAGTGAGTGACAAAGGCAGCCAGAACTAGAAACTTTAGGGGAGTTTTCCTTTTTTTTTNCAGAACCTTGGGTCAGTGTTGCTGAGGAGAGGCTGTGCCTCTGTCCTGTGTAGGGCTGTGCTGTCTTGTAACAGTTTTCTTGAAAAAACCCCAGAAGGTAAGGTTGTGTGTGTTAGAGAAATAAGGAAAGGCCCTTGCACACCTCTGTGGTCATCCCACAGTGGGGGAGATAAAAGAATTGAAAGGATAAAGAGAGATAAGAAATTTCCTGTTTAAAACAAAACGAGCATAAATCATGATGGGATAAGGATGTATTTGTTTAATCACCTTCTTTGCTGCACATTTGCCATCCAGTTTCTTGGTGGGGATGTGGCACTGGAGAGGGCAGAGATGTTCCTGTGCATCCTCAGCATTCCCAGTCAGCCGTGCTGCACCCAGCACCTGCAGCACACACATCCCCATCTGTGCAAAGGGCTTTGATTAAATGAGTGCCAGGCACAGCTTTGTCTGGGGGCAGAGCTGGGGTGCCCAAAGGGGGTGTGGGTGTTGCACAGCCAGCACAGCCCTTACCTTGAGACTGGAGCTGGGAATAACCATTTGTCCTAACCTTCATTGTCCACTGTTGCCTTCTGGCTCATTAGTGGAGGAGCTTGTTAATTCTCTGAGGTTTTTATGTTTTAATGTGAAGTTTAAAAGAACAACTGGCTTAGAAGAAATAATGAACATTAGCAATCTAATTTTGACCTCTTTGTTGGTAGGATCACCTCTCTCTAGCCAGCCAGTTTTAATTACTGTACAACGGCAGCTACCACAAGCTATCAAACCCGTCACCTACACTGTTGCAACTCCTGTGACAACTTCAACCTCCCAGCAGCCTGTAGTTCAGACAGTTCACGTTGTGCACCAGATCCCAGCTGTGTCAGTCACCAACGTGACTGGGCTGGCACCAGCAAACACTTACACTGTCGCAGGACAGGCCGTGGTCACACAAGCTGCTATGGTCACCCAGCCCAAGGTAGAACCTCAAGAGAATGGAGACCACAAGGAAGTCAAAGGTAAGAAAGAACTTGTGGGGTTGTTTTGGCACCTCTTGATGCAGAGGGATCAGTGTTTGAAATTTAGAATTGTAGAACCATAGAAGAGTTTGGTTTGGAAGGACCTTAAAGTCCATCTTGTGTGGGGTGAGATGCTTTCCACTCTCCTGGGTTGCTCCAGGCTTCTTCAGGGATGGGGCATCAATACTTACAGGGCAATGCTTGAAGTGTTTGATAAAACTGAAGATTCAAATTGTAATTTCTCAGATCTGTTGGAGCATGTAATAAAACAACACACTCCCACTGAGGGCTGATTGAGTGAAACCAAATGGCTCATGAGCACTTTATTAATTTAAACCAAATTTTCTCTCCTGTTTGCAGTGAAAGTGGAGCCTCTCCCTGCTATTAGCCATGCTGCAATAGGAGCTGCTGGTCGCATCATCCAGACCTCGCAGCCCGCCCCCTTACAGACAGTTACCATAGTGCAACAGGCGCCGCTGGGCCAGCACCAGCTGCCCATCAAAGCTGTCACCCAGAACGGAACGCACATCGTGCCCCTGAGCGCCGCCGTGGGGCAGGGCAGCGCCGGTACGGCCCCTCCTGCTCT